TTTGGATTCTTTTCAACGTTAAGAGAAGGTCTTGTAAATTTATGTGCTCCCCTTATTGAAGTCTTGTTGGTTGACTATCATGTTTCGAGAGGAATTCAGTATTTGATCATTCCCTTACCACAATTCTTATGTTTTCTCCAAAGAGTGTGAAATGGGGAAACGACAAAAAGTTTAAATTGCACCCGTATTCATCGAAGAAATGAGATTCACAGACTCAGAGGCAGCCCAAATGCCAATTTTCCAGACCTCACGAACTTTTTGCGATGAAAAAAAAAGTGTCCCGTTCTTGACAATTTTCGCGTCGGTAACGCTAAATTTAAAGCCTGGTCAAAAATATCACTTGATCCGCTGACATTTCATGAATTCAGTGCTAAAAATGAAAGGAATTTCCAATGAATATAAGCATGCTTTGAGTCTTGCTGTTGATCCACCAGTGGTTTGAAAGATTCTGGCTCCAAAATCTGTGTATCGAAAAAACTTGATTTTTTTTACTTTAAAACTATCTCGTTCACCGACGGGGATTTGCGGTGATTCGGCTGACGCATTAGGAAATTACCTGACATAATGAACTTAACTGTGTAGAGAGAGAGCAAAGAAAATCATGAAATTTGATGACAACGCAGGTTGAGAGCAGGAACAAGTGCCTGTATTCTTACAGTTACTGTATTTGAGGATTAACTTTCACAAGTTTTTGTTTACTCTTAGAACATCTTCAACCGCGTTCCGGCTTGTCAAGTGACGACTTATTACTATGTCGGCTTTGCCTATATGATCATGCGACGATATGCAGACGCTATCCGGACGTTTTCGAACATTCTACTGTACATCCAAAGGACAAGGAATATGTTCCAGGCGAAGAATTATCAAAATGATTTGGTACGGCTGAAGATTTGTCTATTTTTGTTGTTTGTCTCGAGAGGGAATTTCTAACGGTTCCATTTCGGGTTTAGATCAACAAGCAAACTGAGCAGATGTACATCCTGTTGTCTATTTGTATGACGTTGCATCCTCAACTCATTGATGAGTCTCTGATGCAAGTGTTGCGGGAAAAGCCGCATTCGGAACGAATGGCGAAAATGCAACGCGGGGATTTGCAGGAATTCGACGTGAGCTTTTCCTTCGCATGTCCCAAATTTTTGTCGCCTTTGCCGCCGTCTGCGGATGAAATGCAAGTGAATTTCGACAAGGAGCCGTTACAATTGCAGCTGAAGGTTTTCAGCGACGAGGTTCAGCAGCAGTTGTACATCGGTACGATTAGAAGGTGAGTGAGGTTATTTTTCTTTTACCGGGATCTCATGACAAAATGACCCAAGTCGTGAACCGTGATTCAGGAAGCCTGGGAGAATTTTTTAATGTCTTCAAAAAATGATAAATGTGTTCCTCCTTGCAGTTATTTGAAGTTGTATACCACTATGCCGATCTCGAAGCTTGCGAATTTTCTGGAGATGGAAGTGGAAACCTTGAAGGAGCATTTGCTCTGTTTCAAGCACAAGATGCGGAATTTGGTTTCCACGAAGGGATGTGTGTCCGCATTGGATGGCGAATTTGAGTCCGGTTCGGAGGTGAGACTGAAGAGAATGGTCAAAATCAGCTTCAAGATTTCAGTTTTTTAATTCTTTTACATTTTATTTTGCTGGTTCCGGAGTTTCATCGCTATTGAAACTGCCTTCCGCAATTTTTCTTTGTTCATATACTGTAGTTTCATCCATATTCGAGATACTGTACGAAGGTTTGCTGATGTAGAGGAAATAGATTTACGATATTTTATGACGTTCAGAACTTAATTAAGGTACATTATTATGCTAAGTTTAAGATGAGTCGACTGTTGAATTAAATTGACGATTAATTTTCGACTTTTTTTGAGTTTGAAACTGAATTGAGTTTGGTATGGTTAGCCGTGATGTTAGGCCATATATAGCTTTTATATGAGGTAAATCCAGGTATATCTTGAGCATTATTTTATTTTATTCATTGAACATGTTTTGGGCCAGCTGTGTCTTACGTTTCGGGTCACATTATTCGGGTTTTGAATGAGTTTGGTTGCGAATTTCGGTGAATTGGGTTGTCAAAGCTTTAGCTATAATGCTCACAAATTCAAAAAGATTGTGCAGTAATGCATCTATCTATAAATGCGAACTTGTTGTTTTCCAAGGAATACTTCAGGAATTTTTTTTTTTTAACTAGAATGCGTTGCATAACTTTTGCTGTTGCAAGGATTAACCGTGATATTTTTCGCAGGTTGACTTTTATATCGACGGAGATATGATCCACGTGGCAGACACGAAAGTCTCTCGTCGTTACGGTGACTTTTTCATCAGGCAAATTCATAAATTCGACGAATTGAACCGGAACCTGAAAGGACTCCCCTACTGTTGAAATGTGTATTATCCGAAAAGTTCGCGAGATTTTTTTGGAATTCTGAAAACATCCCGTTTCCTTATTTCAAGGCTGAATAAAGACCTTGGAAGGTGGGCGTGGCTTGGAATTTTAGTTTTTGGCAGTTGTCTTTGGAGTTTTATTCGCTTTTCAGGCTAAAAAGAAATATCTTGCCTGTTACAGGATAAAGCGCGTATCGATGAACGCGGTTTCGCACAGATGGGAAGTGTATGAAGCCTGTCGTTTTTTCGAGCATTGGGTCGTGATTTTGGACGAGTGCCAATTGTGTGACGTCCAGAGGTTTTATTCCAGTGCGAACGTCACGTGACGTTTAATTATGTGCCGGTTTCTAGTGTCTTGTTGCGAGGACATTCGCAAATGCTAACAACATGCTTCTGTTGATTTCAGAGTAGTAAATTTCGCGTGTTCAGTATGGCAACTCCCGTGCTCAAAGCTATGCCTCACGTTCTCAAGAACGTGCAACTCTCAGTGAGTATTATTCCCTTATTCGATGTAATCACTGTGCTGGAAATCAATTGGAAGTTTTCGGAAAATGTCAGAGCCTCGCACGAAATTCCATTAATTTATCCTTGGGTATTTTAATGTCATATTCTGCCAAGATGCAATTATTCATTTACAGTAAGGAGTTGGAAAATTGCGGTTTTTCAAAATTCTTCAGGTTTAGGTGCTGGAGTACCTTAGTTGTGGTGTGATTGAGTAGTCTTCCTACTCACGCATTCCCTCAGTTTTAAAGTAGACCATATATTTTCTGTAAGTTTTTAGGCGTTGTACAGTGTATTTGATGGGAGTAATAATCCATTGAATTTATGCGATGAGATACAGACATCATGCACGACGAAGATTCTGTTGGAAAAGCGTTTGTGATGCAATTTCTTGCCTTCTATTCAGAACAGAATTTGTACAGAAGACGAATTGTTTTACAAACGTAGTTTGAAATGATCATGTTCATTTTACAAGGTGCAACTGTGTGGGTTCATCTGGTCTTCAATGCCTGACCATGCTTTCTGGAATTTCTGTAGATGTTTCTCTAATGAACAAAGAATGAACAAAGTCCCAGTCCAGCGTAGCGTCAGACTGGGACATGTTAGTACAAGCATAGTTGGTTCTCTTCATGTGAATACGGTCTGTCTTCATCAGGGATCCAAAGGGTTTTGGGTGTCAGAGTTTAGCAACCAACTGACGCAATTGTGAGAGCCGTCCATCAACCAGAGTTGATATAAAGGGAGGCTAGAGGGTGGGATTCACATGAAGAGTGCCTCTTGGGTTCTCTTTCTGTGAATCTTTAGAACCAGCTTGAGCAACTGAGGTGCATCAACCAGGAGAAAAAAAGAAATTTATACCAGGCAAACCAAGAAAACTCAGTTGTTGGTATAACATGATTTTAATCTTCAGAGCAAAACACACATACAATCCAATACAAGCATATATCAAACATAAATTCTCTGTATACATAGGCAACGAAATTTTTCACAAAATTCAAACATTTCCTGGTACCATGAGATTTCCACCCTTTTCAACAATGGTGCGTTTATAATTAGCAAAAGTTGTCTGTTCTGTCCAACCAGTCATTTGAGCTATCTGATCAAATGAAAGTGGGTAAGTTGATGAAGACCTGACAATGTTGGGTGAGTATAAGGGCCACCATGGTTGAGAGGGCCATCTGGGATGGATGAGGATGACGTTGGACCTCTCTTTGATGATCTTGGTAATTACCCTGTGCAAAATGCAAAAAGAAGGAAAAATATATCCCTTTTTCCCCCAGAAAGAATCAAAGACATCAATTTCTGTTGCTTTTAATTCATAAAATCTGGAGGCAAAACGAGGGATTTTTGTGTTGATACTTGTGGCAAACCAATCTATTTCTGGAAAGAAATTCCATTTTTTTACAAGTATCACAAAAAATAGAAGGTTCAAGTTGCCACTCAGCATCTAAATATTTTGCCTGTTTCCAGGAGATGATTCTTGTCAGTGCATCTGCTGGATTGTCTCTGGAAGGAATGTAAACCGAAAAAATTGTGGCCTTGTGACTTTCCAGAAACCTCCATAAAATTCGTGCTTTCTGATCAAGGGATTTTATTTTCCCCCCGAAATTATCCATATAGCTGACTGCTACTGCATTATGTATTTGAACTCAAGTATTTGCCTGATGCTAATCGAAGGGAAATGCCTGAAGGGCAAGTCCAACTGCTTTGAGTTCCAAAAGCTCGATGCGGCTTTCATCAGAAATACTCCATGTTCCTGCGACCTTTGATTTCACAGAAATAGCACCCCTCCCCCCCTTGAGTAGATGCATCAGTAATGATAGTGTGAGAAATTGGAGGGCGGTCAAAAGAGAGCCTGAGAATGGAGCACAAGGCCAACCACGAGTCTAGGTCGTCTTCCAGGAAAAAGTAAAGGTTGAAAAATTATCCCAATTTGTTCCTGCTTTAAGAGCTTTTTGCTTTGCTCGTTCAAATAAACGAAAGTGTCCCATGGCGTAAATGTATAGCTGGAATACTGCTCGATAGAAAACCAAGTATTTGTGCGAATTTTCTCGGTTGGATGGGTGTGGCCTTTTTAAAAAAATGTTTTTGTAAACAGTGTAAATTGTTTTTAAGGCGAGGAAAAAATGGCGAAGTCGACCCCCTAAGGGCAGACTAACCTGTGTTTTAGGAAGAGGTATCATTTAGTTGTTCCAACGTTCGTTGTATCGCCGGGAACAATTGTTTTGAGAGCCCCGGTTGTTGCGGTTCTCGCTGCAATCGCGGTCTCCGTTGTTCATGTTTCGGCCGTTGCCGAAAAAATTCTGCTGGCCAGATGTTGAGGAGTGTTCACCCCTTGATTGGCGTCCACCATTTCCGAAAGCACCGCGATTATTTTGCCCAGTATTACGTTGGATAATCTGAGCATCAGGACGAGTACCAGAATTAACACGCTGTCCAGATCTGGGGGGCAATGTATTATTATTATTAGTGAATCCCGTGGCTGCTTGGATAGCAGAACGAAGTGTAGCTTCTTGGACAGTTACACTTGTTAATGTGTCTAATAGGGCCTTGTCGCTAAGATCCAGTAATTGTTCACCCTGGACCTGACAGGTGATCTGTCCTGTCTTGAGGGCAGCTGCCATGAGAGGGTGATGTTGAAGAAGACCCCTGGCTATGGATTTACGCCTGTGGTCCGCTACAGTAATGAAAGCTGTAGCATTGATTTTGATGATTGTTGACACCTTTTTCACGAGTCCAGCGTCGCCTCGGACGTCATCGAGAAGTGCGACTAGGGCTCGATGCGTAACAGCCATAGCTCGTTGGGCTTTTTGATAATTACTGTCCAGTTGTTGATGAACACCCGGGAGACACTTGTAGATTGGGGCATTAGTGCGTGGAACAATTCCAACCTTTGTATTGACGGGTTGGGGGAAAATCTTTTCGAGTTCCCCCAAAAAGGAAGGGGCTAGAGCCGTGGAAATGAAAGGCTCAGTGTAGAAAAGCTCCTGATGGCGTCTAACACTCTCTCTGAGGGTTGGGCCTTTTGGCTGGGGCAGCAAATCTGCCTCAAGTTCTGCAAATTCACTCTCGCCCTCATCTTGCATCCGTTGACGTTTGGGAGATGGTTGAGACCCTGCGGAAGCCACCGAATTTAAAAATCAGGGCTGAGGGGAAAAGAATGTACAGTGAGACCCCCACATGTGGACAATTCGACATAGGGACACGTATTTTATCATGAAAAATTAATAATAAAGGCCCGACATGAGGATACTGACTTGACATAGGGACATTTGGTTATAAATTGCAAATACATTTCAGGCCAAATTACAAGAAACAGATACTTCCAACCCTGAAATTGATGTAAGAAAAGTTCTTAGGCATTTCTCACACCAATTTACCATCCATTTAGCTGATTTAAAAAATTACCTCCAGCATAGAGGATTTCCTTCTCTCTTTTTCACTTGAATATTATTTTTACAGAGAATGCCAACATTTCTATGTACTGTACAGAGGTATTGGTATTCAATTCCCCAAATGTCCATATTGTGTTGAAATGTATTGATTGGAATCAGTTTAAATTGGGAGACAATTTGTTATTTTCATGGAATTATGGAGAGTATTTTGTACATGAAACATCAATTAAAAATTATATAATGTAAGCCAAAGGGAAAATGAGACTCAACTTAGGGACATTTTGACTTAGTGACACTCTTTATGCACCAAGTATGTCCGCATCTCAGGGTCTCACTTCTCACTTTCCCAAAAAAATATGAGAACCACAGAGGAAAAAAACTCTGGGTATACAAAAAAAAGGTAAGGTCTCATCTAACCTTTATAAACCACCAGAGGAATTATGGGGATAAACGTACCAGCAGATTCGTTGCTGTGGTTATCAACCAAGCTTTGAGCTGCTGGGACCAGAGTTTCCCCTTGGTTATCACCGTCTTCAAGAGTAGCCATTTCACTACCAGGCTGACTGTTCGCGTCACAACCTCTATCCTCTTGCAGAGCAGGAGATAGGGCTTGATCTTCATCATCAACAAACAACATATTGACGCGAAGCGATTGTGACCTGATGGGTTCACTAAGAAACCTCTGGGAGAGAAAAAAATTTTCTCAAAATTTTGGAATTTCACAATTCAAAAAATTCGATGATGGGACGAAAAAATATCCTGTGATGAGTTGGGTTGTGAACCAAGAGAAGAAAAAAAAAACTAGGCGCGCCTGTGGGGAAACCGTATCGGTTCCCTGAAATCACCCCTAGCCTTGAAATCACAGCAAAAGTTTTGGATTTTTCCAGTGGAGGAGATCTTGTGACCATCCTCCACGGTTGATGAAAAAAGACTGACGCCCAAAACCCCTTTGGATCCCTGATGAAGACTGACGGTATTCCGTATTCACAGAAAGAGAAACAACCGGGCGTTGGCCAACAGACTATACAGTAGACTAGCCAACTTTTCCTAACCCAACTACATTAGCTGTATATAATATGGCGATATTTATGATTTCCTTCTGGCCCGTTGAAACAATATTTGATTCTAATAATTTGGCCATGAGATTTATGTTTCAGTTCCCTATTGAAGGTTGTGAATTGTCTCTCTATGTATCCTAGGCTCACTAAGGTAAAACATGATTTTTTTAAAAAACAATTTAAATGAACGTTGAGGCTACGAATATTTGCTGGCTGTTGAACTCATGATGTGGGGAACATCAAACGTTGGATTTGAAATGATTTTGAATGATTTACAGTACTACAGTCAACCCCCGTTAAACCGCCACACTTGGTTGCCGCCAAAATTTCATCCCTAACAAATCTGCCGGAGCTTGAAGGGATGGCAAATCCCCTTTAAATCGCTATCCGCCAAAATTTTTAGCCCTTCAAACTGGATCACCCTATTGTTAAACCGCCAGTTTCTTCCTCCTTCCCAGACTTTCCTTTCTCCATTTTTTTAAATCTTCCCAACCATCCTTTTCTCACCTTTTATTTATTGAAAAACCCAGCCTAATCAAGGTTGAAGAATTTTCTCTTGAAGCATGATTATACATTTAAATGGTTTCTCTCAATTTTGAGATGTTTTTAATGCGAGGTTGGCAAAAAGGCGACAAGGGTAGAACCTTTTTTTGTGTTGCACTAAATTTTGAATAATATTTTCAAGACCACCGAACGTTTTTTGTTTTGTTTTGCGGTATACTCGTGAACTCTCTACAACAGAATTTAGGGGTCCAGAAAGAATCGCTGAGAACTACTCCAGCATGGGGAGAAAACCCTAGGAAGCCATAAAAAAATTCTAGAAGAGAAAATTGTTGTAGACATAATCGCTGTAGGGAGAGTTCACAGGTTTTTTTTTAATGCTTGGAACATGGGATTACGAACGAAACTTCATGGAATTTTTTTGTGTGATCTTTAGCTGCTTCCCATTCAGTCCATCCATCCATCCAATATTGCTGCGCGCGTTCATCCGTGAAACATTGACCCGTTTATAATTTTTTAAATTTTTTTACAGGGGCGAGTGGCAGTGGCTGGAAATCGCAAACTCCACTTTGGCAAGAAGTACGAAGCGACTGCGTCTCAACTGTCCAAGGACTATAATGTCGTTGACCATACCTACGATGCCGTGGTTGTCGGGGCTGGTGGAGCTGGGTTGCGGGCAGCTTTCGGGCTCGTTGCCGAGGGCTTCAAAACGGCCGTCATCACGAAACTATTTCCCACTCGGTCGCACACTGTTGCCGCGCAAGGAGGCATCAATGCCGCTTTGGGTAACATGGAGGAAGACGACTGGAAATGGCATATGTACGATACCGTGAAAGGTACGGGGGATTTTTTTTCCCTCTGTCTCTCTTTCTCTTCCTAAAAATGGACGAGATGCATAAGGTGTTATGGGAATACGATTAATATTCAGGGGGCTTGGTTTTCGTTTGCATTTTAATGCTTGATGCCTCTGACGATGTGAGTTTCTTTGCCATTGTATAGGTGTCGCCGTCATTTTGTTACTACTTTACCAGTGGACTCCCTCTCTCTGCAACGATATTACCTGTACAGGTGGACACTCTCTCTACAAAAAATTCGGGGGATAAGATAAAAGTTTCTTTGTAGAGAGAATTTTGTTGTAGACAAGCCCCTATAATATTGAGGGAGAGAACCCATGGGACCAAAAAAAATATTGTTTTTCAATGAAAATCGTCGTGGACAAGAATGCTGTCAAGAGTTTCCACATGTTGAACAATTTTCTTTTTGGTCCCATAGGCCACTCATAGGGTTCTCTACAACGAAATTCTCCTTCAAACAATTTTTCTGGTCCCTTGAATTTATTTGTAGAGAGTCCACCTGTATTCTTCAGGTCTAGATGAAGCCAAAATAATGCAGATGAAGTTACGTTGGGTAATCATATTTGCTCAAGTTTAATGTACATTGAGTTACAGTATTTGAGTAAGACATGCGTTCCAATTTTTAACCCTGAAATTCTGATGAAATCATATTCCTGAGTCATCCTTCCTTTTTTAGTTATTGAAAAACTGCAATATTCCAAAAATGAGAGCCTCCAGAATTCAAATATGAGAATAAATTTAATTAATTTTCAATTGTTTTAATTTTAAAGCGTTGCTGTCTAAAGTTTCCAATCTGCATATTTTTGTGACGCGCATCCCCGTTTTTTACTCCTAATTTTGAGGAAAAAGTTGCGCGTGGAACTCGAATAAAGACCGGATTTCTGTTTTTATTTTTTATTTTATTTTTTTTTAAATTTTTCATTATTATTTTTTCATTTTTATACTTTGGTCAGGTGTGGTTGTTTTTTAAGGCTAATGGTACTGATATCCCCTGCGTGACTTCCCGGAAAGCACGGTTAGGGGTTTAAGGGCAATGATCATGCACTTTTCATGAATTTCTTCGACTTGAGATTTAAAAATTAATGTCGTTCACAATTTCATTGGTGTCACGTGAATTCAAGGTAGTTTAGATTCCATTCATGTGAAATGTGACGTACATTTTTTGACGTCGAGTTAATCATTTATGTAGAGGTGAACTGTCGTGGTTGGAAAAAGCTTGAAAAACCGGATGTTGAGACAGATCTTGGTTTGCGACCGAGTTCTGCACTTTAAAATTTCCATTTGATTTGTTTTGGATTTATTTTATTGCCTGAATCAATCCCAAAATAACTGGGATCTCCGAATACAGTACCTGTGTCTAAATCCCATTTTTAATTCATGTGATAAAACGGATTCATGACGTTTTCATTCCAGGATCTGATTGGTTGGGAGACCAAGATGCTTAAGTAATGTACTGGGCGCTTCGGGGCGTGCGTCAGTAACTCGACCTTGTAATGCCTTACGGGAAGTCGGCTTGCTCGCTCCCATTTTAAATAGTCTCTCGCAAGCCGCCGGTTAGCGACTTCATACGCAAAGGCGGACAAGCTCACAGGTGAGATTCCATTGGGACGGTGCCTCGGTTAATGAACGTGATCCTGGCCAATAGAAGTTCATTATCGGAAAATTCCGTTACCCGAGTAATGCGAAGCTGTGTGGGATAGCGGATTGGTTCCAGATTCTGAAAAGCCGTATTCTGTGGCTCATCCCTTTTTGCATCCAATTTGAGAATTTCCTTTATGAATGCTCGAATAATTTTATTTGCTACATTGCGTGAAGAGTAACGGGAAAACGCTCAGAAACAACGTTAAAATGGAGTGTTGCAATGAAGTCTATCCAGTCCATGAAGTCTTCTAGCTTTTTTTTGATAAAGGTGGGCTTTTTATTCAAACCTTCAGTCTAAAGGCTGTCTTTGAAGTCAAAAAATTAAATGCTAGCATAAATTGTTGCTTAAAATCTGAAAGAAGGTCATCAGAAAAAAAACGATGCCCCTACATTATTTTAGATAACCGAAAAATTATTCTCCACCCGAAAAATAAGGTTGCAAGTCGGATTTAGAATAGAAACTTTTAGTCTTCAGACGTGCGATCATATTTCATGTTATCGAATATCTGTGGCAGGGTCAACAGAAAAACCTCACGGAAACAACTAAATTATGCTCATGACGATATTTTATAAAATCGAGAAAAAACTACTGTTCATCCGAAAAATAAGGTTCAAAGTCGGATTCCCGACAGATACTTACCGTTTGTGGTACTTTCCTGTTATCTCTGTACCTCATTCCTGGACCGCACTACCATCCAGACAAATCTTTAGGACGAGTTCATAATCACAACGACCTACCAGAAACTGTGAATTTTATTTTTCCGCATTCTGCTGAAACTGATTTTGGGAGGCGGTTAGGTCATTGGTGAACATGATGCCCAGGTGTGGCTGGGCACCCCCTTTTTTCAAATATATTGCACCCTGATTCAAAGAGAATTTTTAAAATATTTTTAAAAATACAAACATGATGCCCAGGTGTGGCTGGGCACCACCAGCTTGTTTTATAAAATCGAGAAAAAACTACTGTTCATCCGAAAAATAAGTTTCAAAGTCGGATTCCCGACAGATACTTACCGTTTGTGGTACTCTCCTGTTATCTCTGTACCTCATTCCTGGACCGCACTACCATCCAGACAAATCTTTAGGACGAGTTCGTAATCACAACGACCTACCAGCAACTGTGAATTTTATTTTTCCGCATTCTGCTGAAACTGATTTTGGGAGGCGGTTAGGTCAGGTTATGTTAGTTACAAATATCTTTTAACTAACATAACCTGCTGCTGAAACTGATTTTGGGAGGTGGTTAGGTAAAGTTAGGTTAGGTCAGGCTAAATTGGTCAGAGGGAAGGTACAGAGATGACAGGAAAGTAGGTACAGAGATAGCAGGAAAGTACCCAGTTTTTAGATATACAATCATATTTCATGTTGTCTTGATTATCTTGAAGTCTGAGGCAGGGTCAACCTTCGGTAAAAATAGATGGAAGCTCGAGTCCATTATCCTGGGTAACATTGTACAGTTTTCGTCAACATTTGAACTTCATATTTTTCCTGCGTTTTGACGTTTGGCGAGAATTTTTTAATTTTATTGTGCATAATTGTGCTTCTCAGATGCTGTGCTGTGGCTGACCGAACAGGACACTCGCTTCTCCACACGCTGTACGGCCAGAGTTTGAAGTACGACTGCAACTACTTCGTCGAGTACTTTGCCCTGGACCTGCTGATGGAAGATGGCGAGTGCCGAGGAGTGATTGCCCTGTGCATGGAAGACGGTTCGATTCATAGATTCCGTTCCAAGAACACGATTCTCGCCACTGGAGGCTACGGACGCGCGTATTTCTCGTGCACCTCGGCTCACACTTGCACCGGCGACGGCACTGCGATGGCCACTCGAGCAGGACTCCCGAATGAAGATTTGGAATTTGTGCAATTTCATCCCACGGGTATTTACGGTGCCGGGTGTCTCATCACTGAAGGATGTCGCGGGGAAGGAGGATTCTTGATCAACTCTGAAGGAGAACGGTGGGTGTCGTACCTGTCTTTTTCTTCCGATTAACACTTTCAATTGATATAAATCAGTTTAGGTACGGTCTAATCCCGATTTAGTGCCATCATTTGTCCTTACGCATTTTGTGGAACTAAGTGAGGGTGGTTTTGAATTGGGGGGTATTGAATCGGAAGAAAATTCGTTTGAGGGCTTCTGCAATGTGTAAAACAGGCTTTTTTTTTGCAGAATTTAAAGGCTGTTGAGTTGGTTTTGTAAACAACAAAAAATAGGCCCCACAAAATAATTTGAGGCGCAAATGAACTGTTTTTATTGCATTTAAATTTTTTATGTAGTATAGAATAATCTGTATGTATTCTGGGTCAAGTAAAAGAGTGGAACTGTTTGTTACAGTTTTCTATCAATGAAAGCACTGAATTCCAATGTCAGGTGGAATAATTTTCAATTGTTTTAAAGAGACTGTCCCAGTTTTTGAGATGCTCTTTGCTGTAGAGGACATTCAAATTAAAACCATCCAATTACATGTAAATTCAGAAGTATAATTTTTTAAATTATCATGAACATGAGCATGTGATTCTCAGGAGTAACCTTATAATATCCCTAAAAATAAGCGTTAATTTCTCTAATTTTGGCCTATTTTCATTCAGGACAGAAAATTTTTGTGGTACTTTGCAATGGTTGCACTAAATCAGAGGTCATTAAATGAAGGGTTGACTGTATCAGAGGAAAATTTGGTTGAGAACTTTTTCTACCGTACCTGTACAGTATAGCTTTTTTTGCAGTTGGCCATTGAGTCAGTCTCATAAAAGAAAAAACCACAAGAAACAATTGGAAGCTCAAATGAACTGTTTTTACTGCATTTCAATACACGTTTTGTAATAACTAAGAATATTTTAGATTTTTGTGCATGCATTGGGTCAAGTGAAAAAAATGGAACTTTTTCTTGCAGTGCTCTATCAATCTTCAGTGAAAACACACATAATTTCGAAGATCAGGTGGAGTGCTTTTTAATTTACGATACAATACAGTATGCAATTAATGTTGGACAAAAGAGAATCTAAGCAAAAAATAATAATGTGTACAGTTTTCTGTGCCAAAATGTTCTGAAGAAAAATGTTATAAAAATAATTTTGGTAAGTTGTCGTTATATGAGTTGTCGCACTGCGCAAGAGTTGTTGGGGGAATCTTCATTTTGACACACTTCTCAAGACGATCTTTTCATCCCGAAATAATCACGTTTTCTGGATTTATTAGCGCGTGCGTTACCCCATTTAAACTTTCTTGACTCTAGTGAAATGTGGAGCATGAGCATTTCACACGAAGATGACATTAATGCCGTGTCTTCAAAGAAAACCGCCAAGTCGGACGTTTAGCTTGAAAGATCTCCGATTACATGCCGTGTCCAAATTGAAATTTTAATCGCAATAATGCGTAACGCTTGAAAGCTGAATTTTACGCCTTGTATTTTTTGCAGCTTTATGGAGCGTTACGCCCCCGTTGCCAAGGATTTGGCCTCACGAGATGTCGTATCCCGGTCCATGACGATTGAAATCCGCGAAGGTCGTGGAGTTGGACCCCGCAAGGATCACGTTTACTTGCAATTGCACCACTTGCCCCCGGATCAACTTGCGGCTCGTCTCCCCGGCATTTCCGAAACTGCGATGATTTTTGCTGGCGTCGACGTGACCAAAGAACCCATTCCGGTCTTGCCGACTGTTCATTACAACATGGGCGGTGTACCGACCAACTGGAAGGGTCAAGTGAGTGGAATATCTTTTCATTGCCTTTAGTCCCCGCTGTGTTTGATGTAACCGGGATAACGCCCTCGTTTATCCCGCCATCAAATTAAAAATTGAAAATTCAAACTCCGAAAATGCTACTGGATTATGTTTTATTTAGAAAAGCCTCTCTGTCCTAAAACTAAACCATTTGGCCGTGAGTGTACATTTCGGCTTCGTCGTGAGATGAGTCGGCCATTGGGACAGGAAAGATGGATTCTACTCGCCACAGATTTTTTCCTTGCCAACTGGTCGGAAAAGTTTTAGAAAGATCATCAGACGATCCGAAAATATTGCTACGTTTACATATCTAAATTCTGTAAAAGTGTTAATTTCAAAATTAAAAAATCTCTAATGTTTGCCTACTGACCACCTGCATGGCCTTCGTGGAAGTCCGTAAAGTATTATTGTATAATTTTTGATTTTGGTAACGAAGTAAACGTGGCAACTTCCTCTGCAGGGGTTTTCTTTTTTAGAAATTCTCGTGTTGGTTCCATCTTTTCAACCTGTAATTGTGAATATTACGTCACTTCATAGGAAATGGACTGAACGATGGGAATTATTTTTTGCATGCTCTTCATTGCTCGAATGGTTGAAAATATGGTGAAGTACCGCTTGAAAAGTATCTACCCTCTTTGGGTTCGCCAGGTACATCAGTAGCGCGTCTGTCAAGAATCGGTACTAGAAAAATATTTAGTTTTTTTTTGGAATGCTGAACATGATCATTTTTGAAATCGTAGTCGAACCTCCCTAATTCGAATTTCAGGGACCAGCAAAAGAATTCGAGTTAGGAAAACAAACATTGTGTTGTTGAAACAATAAAACAATTGCGAGAAATTCTGAATGGTGATTTTATGGGCCTGAATTTTCTTCTTGAATGAGTTGACAGAATGCTGAACTTGGAGGCAAGTGTTCATTTGCTCAATGAGTCTTTCTCTTCCTTTCAAAACACATCGTTACTTTATGTATTGTTATTTTTTCTCTTTTCTGTGTCGACAAAACAAAAGACAAAAGGACTCCGAAAATGCGAGTTACAGAGGTTTGAAAGGAAAAGCCTTTGAGTTAAAGAGGTTTTTAATGCACTGTTCCTGAGGAAATTCAGACAGGGACTTGAAAAAAAAAAGTGACTTGGGGAGGTTCGAGTTATCGAGGTTCAACTGTATTTGTCGTGTAGTATTCAGTACTGTATTCTCTAACGCGAAATAAAAGTTTTTTGTGTTGAAGCGAGTGAAAAATGTGCCCAGAGCTCCCAGTGACACGGAATGCGTGTCGAGATTTCCTCTGTCCCTGTTGATGTCTAAAAATGAAAAATGTCTAGTTTGAGCTCTACGGTACAATATTGATAAATATTGTTTGAATGTAAGCATGATGTGAAAATTTCTTTCTTTTTTTTTCAGGTCATCACTCACGAGAACGGTAAAGACAAGGTGGTCCGCGGTTTGTATGCTGCTGGTGAAGCCGGTTGTGCGTCTGTGCACGGGGCTAATCGTCTCGGAGCCAATTCTCTTCTGGATTTGGTCATCTTCGGCCGTGCGTGTGCGCACGCCATTTCCCAAGAAAACAAGCCGGGCGAGAAGATCGGAGACCTTTCACCGGTACGAGAGAAAAATTGAGCGTGACTTGAATCTGAAAAAGATTATACTGTGAACAATGTATATTTTTTTTTTACCGTGGATTATGGTATGACGCTTTCCTGAGAGAGGGATTCTGAGAATTTCATTGCTTGAGGGGTTTTATTCTGAAATTTGTAAATTTCTGAAATTCTTTCAAAAGAAAAGAGATCACGTTTAATCTGATATTCGTACAGTACAGAGTATTCATTTTCCGTGTACCTTCAAGAGTTCGTTGGACATTATTGAACTCTTTTGGAATTATGAAAGAATACGTAGGAAATAGTACTGTATTTAAATTGGGATGGAGCATGTTGTTTTTGTAGCCTTCGTGTGTAAAAGACTTGCCCCAAATTCTGTGATTGCTTACTGAGTTACTGCGAACTTGAATCAAACACTGCCCTCAATAAGAATTACGGCAATTCAGATAATTAGACCATTCTAAATTATCTCTAGTATTCTAGATCAATTTTTGTTCTCGGTATTTTTTAAAAGTTTGTCAAATCAATCGCTGCCATAGAATCATGGATGATTGAAAGAATAAAGACTCCCATCTATCCGCATCTGGCAATCCGTGACTTATATTACGGATTAATTTCCAAAGTATTCTGCCAGATGTCAGTGCAATCAAGCGTCTCTTCAGGACTAATCGAAATATGCTCGATGTGTATGTCCCAAAATCATCCATGGTTTTTTAAAGTTTTTTTGAAGATCCAAGTTAGACGATTTTATTCTAAGAAATGTGAAAAAAATTATTTCGTGAAACGCGCGAATATTTTGGCCTTCTGATAACGGTGTTGAATGACACAAAATTCTTGAACAACTTGTGGCACACGTTTTCCGAACACTGCTTGGAGAATGAGACATCGTAGGTATTGAGTAATGTAAAACTGGAGAGGAAAATGAATTCTGAGCATATGTTTTTCGTAGGAATGTTTACGAATGAGATGAGATTATTTCTGATCCCAAATACTATATTATGCTTTTCAAATTACGTTGTAGAATGCCGGTGAGGCTTCCGTGTCCAACATGGACAAGCTGAGGTTTGCCAACGGTGCTATCCCAACTGCTGCTTTGAGGTTGGAGCTGCAGCTTGCCATGCAAAACCATGCTGCAGTGTTCCGAACTGGTGATGTTTTGAAGGAAGGTGTTGTTCAAGTGTCGAAAGCTTATGGGAAAATGAAGGACCTCAAGGTTTCCGACCGCGGCTTGTGCTGGAACACCGACTTGGTAAATACTGTACTTAGGATCTGAAAACTTCTTTGCTGTATTCACTGCTTGATTTTTTTTTTTCTCGCGTTTTGGCATTTAAGTCAAGTTCTTTGAGCATAAACATGGAATAGTTGAGGATTAGTCAATTATCCTTTTTAGCTTTTCATTATTCAGTTCAAATAAATAACAAAGGAAATGAGTTTTTCTCTTTTTATCTACGCCAATTTGTTTACTAGCTAGTGGAATGTGCCTCAAGTTTTTTTTTTTTTTTTTTCGAAACGGAAACCATTTTTTTCTGCGAATGTAAGACGCATTTCATTTAATATTTTAAATCGCGTCATTTTTTTTATTCATACTGCGGTCATCAGCTTAATTTTTGAACATTTCCTGTGGAAATCAGGATTATTAAGGATTTTTGTAGTTGCCTGTTGGACGTTTCTTGGTTGAGAAAGTCGTGTTCGTCAAGATCATTAACGCAGTTGACCTGCAAATTCCAGGCAGCATCGAATATGAGACACCACTGAGTTCTAAGATATTTTCCGATTTTGTTGAGCAAGGGCTTGGCCATGAGTGCCTCTCACATACAGTGCATAAAAATGCAAATATTAGTTGATTGACTAGTGTCTCCAAAATAATGTAGTGGAATGATATGGAATCGTCTGGACAAATTTATTGCAAACCACGCATGCATTGAACGCCACCTGCACTGCAGACCTCCTACACACGAGATAGAGTACCATAGTAAAATGCCAGGTTTTGATTGAATTTATTATTGAACTATCGAGTTACTTGCCTTCAAAGTGATTCCCAAGTTGATTTGACAGAAACAACATTTCAGAGATTTCCGCAGTTTTTCGATTCGGAGTTGCTTTTGAACTTGATCGACTTCTATGTATTTTTTGTTCTGTTTCGAAGAACAAGTCTGACTGTGATTCCGTTGTCTGAATTTCGCAGGTGGAGACTTTGGAGCTGCAGAACCTGATGATCAATGCGATGCAAACCATTGTTTCAGCCGAAGCCAGGAAAGAGAGTCGTGGTGCTCATGCCAGGGAGGATTTCAAGGACCGCGTTGATGAAATCGATTATTCGAAGTCGAAAGAAGGCCAGAAGCCTAAGCCGATTGAACAACACTGGCGAAAGCACACTCTTTCAACCCAGGATGTCGAAACCGGACAGGTTGGTCGCATTGATCATACATTTCTACGAAGTTAAACTCTGCCTAGTTTCTGATGACGTACGAGGGTTGTCCCAGTTGGACGCGGCCTCTTGATATTTTTAGAGTAGGTGTGATTTATGATGAAAATAAATAAAATGAAAAACCAATCAGGACATTGCCCATGATGTTCAGTGGTTGTGGAATATTTTTCGAATTTTAAAAAAGTTTTTCAATTTACTGCTTGATGATGAGTGGAAACCCATTTCACAGGGGGCTAAAATTAGTCAGGCCACCTAAAAGATTGCAATCTTTTAAAACCATAATGTAACATTCAGAAAAGAACATAGGTAAAACAAAAACATGGCAATCTTTGTGTTATTTTGTTCCTTATCTAAAGTTTAGAGATCATGAATGAAACAAAAATATTTGTAATTTTTTTCGGAGGCCTGATGAATTTTAGAATTTTGGCTGTAAGTAGAAAGTTTTCGCCTATCATTATGCGGTAAATTGAAAAACTCTTTTAAAAATTTGAAAATAAATGCTACTACCTCAGAGCATTTATCATACAAGATATGGGCTATGTCGTGATTTTGTTTTTACTGTCACACCTACTCTAAAAATATCATAGGCCGCGTCCAGCTGTGACAACCCTCGTATTCCTGCTGGTATAGGCTGCACTTTTTTCTTTGAAGGTGAGTGCAAAGAACCCGGGTGTGGCCTATACTCAAAATTTTTTTAATAGGCCGCGCGAAAGTTTTTTTAGTGTTGCTGATGTTGTTCTAGTGAGTCGTCAGACTAACATTTACCTTCATTTCAAATGCGTAATCAAACCTTCCAAGTCTATTTAGAACAATGTTCCAACCTTTTTGGGCCCGCGGACCAGCAAATTTCGATAAAAATTTTTTGTGGATGGCAAATTCCCAAAAATTCTTGCAGCGGATGAAAGTTTTGTGAAAGTTTCATAAAATTTTGCAGACACAAAAATTTTTTTGTTTTTTAGACTTTATTGCAGGTACATTATTAAAAAACTTTCTGATATTTTGCAAAAATAAATTGAGAACCAATGATGCAGCTATAGGGGAATGTCTTCGAAAAAATTAGAAATGTAGGCTTAAAGAAATGTGTCTCACTGCAAAAAATTAAAAATAATTTATTTTAGAAGGTGAGAATTTGTCTGAGGTGTTATTTGGATAAACCCCGACTTTTATTTTCTATCTAATGATTTAAACTGCCTTCGTCTTTCCGAAATCTCAGATGAAGATAACAAACTTCATTGCTACTTTCGATAAATCTATTACAGTATTCAGTTGGAAAATTTCCCGCGGACTGGCGAACAACTTCTGCGGACCGGGGCCGGTCCGCGGACCACGGGTTGGGGAACACCGGCTTAGAACAAATGTTATTTTTGTATCTTGATCTCGTGAAAAATTCTTGCCGCCCTCTACATACAGTATTTGGAATACTGTATTTTTTGCTTTTTTATCTGATCAAGACATCAGGTGCCTTCAGAAAATGGTCCGGGATAGTTCATTCATGACTTGTCACCATGGTGATGAGGAATCGATTCAAACCAGTATTGATGTTTCCCATTTGCAATTCGACGATCCTAATTTTTTGTATGTGGGAATAAAATTACGTAACGATTTCTTTTCTTCGTTGTGTTTCAGGTGACTTTGAAGTACCGACCCGTGATTGATGTTACGTTGGACGAAGCGGAGTGCGCCCATGTCCCCCCAGCGATTCGTTCCTATTAAAAGGGCTGCGTAATATTTGTTTCGATGAGAGGCCGTTATCTGAAGCTGAACTCCTCTGCGATGGAGTGTCACAATGGAAGGATGTAATCAAAAAAAGAGGCGGGCCGAACGTAGCCAGAAAATTTTATGCTTTCAACGCGTGTACATTCTTTAGTGCTGAAGTTGTTTGAGGATAATTGTGGTTGAAATTTCCTGTGCAACATTTTCTTTGGAAACTGTAAGTCGCAGATGTTGTGCAATGAAATTTGAAGGCTTATATTCGTGACTAGCTTCTTCGATTTGAGTCTCTGAAAATAAAAATAGCTTGAAGTGAAACTTATACTTTTTTTTACAAGTAACTTTGTATTCGAAAGTGAGGGAGGGATTTTTTTATAAAAAAAATAAAGGAGCTATACGACCTTTTGGTGGATAGCACCACATCCTGGCAGATTTTACAGACAATCTGCTGGATACCAACTGCAGGAAGGTGAATCAGAACCCTTGAACCCCAATGATTATGCCATAAATACACTATTATATGCACATACAAATACTAAATGCATGGGTAGAAACAGTGGCATTATTTTTAATTTAAGCTACTTCCTTTGTGTAGGATTGATGAAGTACATACTTGTCTAATATCTTGGAGCCTCGAACATAATACAGTGAACATGCAGGTGAATTATCTCTAGTCTAAATGATCATGTCTACAACTATTTCTCTGTAACATAAATTCTTTTTTTTGTTGCATGGTGTTCTCTCCCTGTGTTATGTAGGGGTTTTCTGTAACACAAGTTTCTCTACAACAGAGTTTTTTGTTGTCCCTTGAATTTTGTTCTACGAGAGAGTCCACTCCTAGATGGAAGGTTCTGTAAAACTTGATGATGCTGAGCAATGTATTCCAACATTCTGCTGTTGGGTTTTTTTGATGTATTTACTGGTACTGGTCTGTATACAAGTCAAGATATTTACTCAGAAAATCTTCAATGAAATCTCTGAGGGTCCTCCATTGAATTTTCCCAATCATGCACTAGCATGAATCAGGTTCAATAACCATGATATTGAGGCTCCCCAGGCATCTGCGTTAGACAAGTATTACACTAAAAAATTGGCCTTGTGAACAATTACAGATAAGTTTTCATTTTTTATCTTTTTTCAAAATGAGCTGTATATGATACTGGGACTGTGCTAGCTATTACAGTGAGACCTCCAAATGAGGACACCTTGACATGCAGAAAATTTGATTCAAGTACATTTATTTTTCTATAAAAAAAGGCCTGACATACAGACACTGACTTGACATGCAGACATTGCATGATGGAATCAACAATGAATTTCAGGAAAATTGACTTTTATTAGGCTTAATTGCAAGAAACAGATATTTCCAACCTTAAGATGTATGCATAGAAAAATTCTCTGGTATTTTTCATCATTTTCCCATCCCTTCAGCTAATAAAAAAATTTCCTATAGCAAAGAGGGACTTCCTTCTCTCTTTGTGACTTGAATGTTATTTTTACAGATGTAAACTTTTCCATATACAGGACTGAGTACTGTACAGAGGTGGACTATTCATTGATCCAAATGTTCTTGTTGAGATGAAAAGGTATTTGGTGAATCAAATTCAAGAGGCAAATATTTTCTTCATGGAATTCTGAAAATATTTCTTCCATGAAACACCAATTAAAAATTATATAATGTAAGTCTAGGGGAAAACAAGACTTGCCTTTGAAACATTTCAACTTGGGGGACACTCTTGATGCATCAATTATGTCTGCATCTAGGCATTCTAGGGGTCTCACTGTATTTTGAAAAGGGGACCAACTGAAATCAACATATTTTGCTGGTTATCATGGCAAACCTGGATACGTGTTTAGCGACATCTGTTTGACTGAATAGGTGGTTACTGGATTTATCCCTCTTGCAGTAACATACAGCACTTAACCTGTAAGGTAATGCTGGCGAGTAAGATGCTTGTATGGAAACGCAGTCAGTGCGGTGCCCGGTGTGACCGGTAAAGGCTGTTAGATCCATCGAATTTGCGTGGAACTCGAAGTGATAAGTGAAGTGACCACTGCTGAGATGCTATGTCTAGCCTTTCACCTCAACTTTCCCGGAAATAGGGTCATCATGCTTTGATTTCATTCAATGAACTACAGTACACTCAATGACGACGCATGACCATCATTGGCTTTTCATTTCTTGCGCTTATTCGCTAATCAGAACTTAAAATTATTCGTAATGCGTTAGTCTTTTCACGATCTTCTCTACTAGCTTCGTTCTTGTAAAGAAATAAAAGGAATCATTTAACTTGCGAATATGTCCAACTGGAAAACTTCAGAGACATTCCCACAGGACGGAGTCGACGTGAACAGTAGTGATCACTGTTCGCGAACAGATCTTCATTACTGTCATCCAGAATCCCCTGTATCCCCTAGTGGCGTGCTTCGTGATGCAACCCCGGAGCGATCGCTTCCGAACCCTTCTCTCGATCGAAATAGTGACGATGAACACATGGGATTCAAGGACTATTTAGGTGCCTTTTTCACGGTCTTCGCCATTGTTGGATCAGCTGCAGCGTACATGTACAATACGGCGCACCCGAACGCACTTCATCCTTTTCCTAAAAGAACTGACGCACTTTCAAGTGCAGAAGACCTGAGAGCACAAATGTCCAGCTTGAAATCACAACTTTATGAGCAACTCGCGAAGTGGGATGAAATACAGAAGCAACGAGAAGCGTCATCCGAACAATTTTCCGGATCATTGTGTTGTAAAGAACTGCGGGCTGATATCAGTGAACTGATTTCTCGGGTTGGCGATCATGACCTAACGTCCATCGCGAAAGAATTAAATGATCTGAAAGTCGCACATGATGATTTTCGGTATAAGTGAGTAACATTTTCTTATCAGCTGAATGCCCTCACTACATAGGCGCTCACGATAAGGTCATCGGAACAGTCGTGCGGTGTGAAATTGGAAGACTTGGAGAATGTCGTTGAGTCGAAAATCAAAAGTTTGAAGATATCCCAACCGGTTGCATCATATGACGTCGGATCAAGCGGGAATGCCGCGTATGATTACGACAAGACCGGTAAACCGGACTACGCGCTTGAATCGGCGGGAGGAAGCATTGTCAGTTTGTATTCTGCGATTTCCGGAAGTGCATTATGCAGTGATATTTTGTGTTCTTGATAGGTAAACACGCGTTGCACGGAGACCTATCGGAATTCGTACAGCGTGAATAAAATTTTCGGCATTCCGGTTTGGTGGTGGCGCCCGAAACCGCGCGAGGTGTTGAATCCCGATATGACGCCCGGTCGGTGTTGGGCGATGTCAGGAACTTCTGGCTCGCTAGTGATCCGTTTATCGATGCCCGTTATCGTCACTTCTGTGACTTATGAACACATACCCGTGCAGATAAGCGTTATCGGGAATATCGATTCTGCCCCTCGCGCGTTTTCAGTTCATGCTCTTCGTTCTGATCGGGACTTCGAAGGCGCTCACTTGGGTAATTTCGAATTCGACAAGAACGGTCAGCCTTGGCAAACGTTCAACGTTGTCAATGTTCCCGCGAGACCCGTGGAATTCGTAGAATTTAAGATTTTGTCCAATTGGGGGCATCCAGATTACACGTGTTTGTACCGACTGCGCGTTCACGGAGACTTGACCATGCGCCCATCTTGAGCGTTTGAATCCGTCGCTGTATTTCATGTTTTCTTCTCTCATTTCGCAGTGTTGTTCTTCTCATCGAATACCATGATTAAAACATACTTTTACCAAGATCTGTGAATGTTTTCCACACCCGAGCGAATTGAAGCTAAGATCGGGAAGCATGGAACGCCCAGGAGAAACTTCTTGCGTGAACTTGTAAACGAGTTCAAGGAAACCGTATCAATCGGTAATCTTTCCATTTCGCACGTGAAATTTTTATTGGCGTTCCTGGAAAAAACCACAGAAAAATAATAGGATAATTAATTGTTTAGTTGAATCCAGGCTCGAGCTTTTGTCCTATTCAAACGCCTCTCGTTTCCGCATGCATATCATTTTCAGTGACATGAAAGTTACTGTACCGTAATAAGAATTAAATCTTTCAAGGTTCAAGTTATTACAAACCATAGCACTGTTTAGTGAGTGTGCAATAGAAAATGCAAATAATTGACATTTGTGATCAAATTTTTACCCGGCATCCCTGATCGGTGAAAGGTTTTTTTGCAATGCATCTACTTCCAAAATGACGCCGTACAAAAGAAGAAGAATTTCAAACGTAGAAAGAAATTTGTATCCTGTTCCAGTCATGAGGTTAATTTCCCTGGTTTTTTTTTTTTTTTTTTTTTTTTGATTGAACGCTGATTTTCCTCGTAATAATCGATGTTCTCACAGAGTACAAAGAGCAAATTTTGGCGAATCTCGCCAATTTTGCGTACGATCCGGTGAATTTTGGCTTCCTGACCGAGCTGAATGTGGACAAATTATTCCTCGATTGCCTCACGCAGGAAGCAGTGAATACAGACAAATTGCGGGAATTCGCTGTGAAAGGAATCTTGAACCTTTGTCCCGGTTAGAACTACCAGTGTTTATTGATTAAGTAGTGGCATTTGACGGAGTTTTGTTTTCGTCTGTCTAGATGATTTCCTTAGGAATCGAATCCTAACGAGAGGAGGAATGGAACTCGTTAAAGAAGCAGTTGGATCATCAGAACCCGAGACTGTTTTGTCGGCGATCGCAGTGTTGAATGAGTTCGCAGTTCACGATCTCCAAGAAAGCGATCGTGCTAGTTTGTTGAATCCCGTGTTCGTTGAACGAGTTCTAAAGTTGAAGACCCACCCGAATCCCTTGATAACGAAGTTAGCTCAAGTGTTTGTTGAGGATCATTGTAGCCAAGCCCTGATACGAGCTGCTGTTGAGCTTCGGAATGTGGCGAGTGGATCGTCTTGAATGGAAGACGAAAGAGTGATAATTCAGTTTTCTACATTCCTCGAGATAAGCCTTGGAATCCGTCGAAGCGTTGCTTTTATTTTGCATCAGTGTAAGAAAATATTGTTTTTTGTTTTGTTCGCAGGTTGTTCTAGTGAAGTGTTCAAATCTTTCTTTTGCGAGCTTGATTAATAGTTGTGATGGCGCTGGATGTGGATAAGCATAAGAGTGCTTTGATTGATGCGTGGAAAAAGGTTTTGGACGAGAAAGACCCGACGGATTGGTTAGTTTTCTGGAATTTTGTGGGCGAGACATTTCTGCAAAGAGTGCGTTTTTCTTTGCAGGGCACTTTTTGGCTATGAAGGACCGTCAAACTCCTTGAAATGTGTTTCAACCGGAGGTTAGTTCGTCTTGATTTGATGCAGTTTAAATATTTCATGAATATACAGTAGTTTATGGTGGATCCCTGCATATCGAAAGACCCGCGCAGTGAAGCAATTTGTCAGACGAAAATTAATAGGGGAAAAGTGACTTACGCGACAAAATGTTTTGGCCAAAAAATGGGGGAATTTGAATTCATTCCAATGCTGTATAAACTTTTGAATTCTTCAAAAAATAGAGAGAAATGAGAAAATTAGTGTATAGTTTTGCATCATGCTGTTTTTCAAATTTGAGAAATTCAGGAAGCTGTGAGCAAGCGTTGTTGGGATTAGTCGACTTTCCTACTAAAACAAATTGAATTCATAATTTCCTGTTGAAAAACGCGAAACATTTATGGTTTATTTTGGTGAGTGGCCGGAACAAATGGAATCAATCACAGTACAACGCTACATTGAGGAAAACGCGTTTCACATACCGAAAATTCTGCATAACCAAAATAACCAAGGAATGGATTAATTTCGTTGTATGGCGACCCACGATTCTGTTGGATTTTATGTAATAGATATTTTTCGAAGGACCTCATCGAAAATTCCTTGACCTACACCCTGGAAATCTGTTCTCACTAAAATCAATACTATGAATTTTCAATAAATTGATTTTTGGATTTGAAACAATCACTGTATGCAGAATATGTGAAAAGAGCGACTATCTACAGCTACATTGTTAAAATTTCTTCCGAGTCCGAATTTAGCTTTCATAGTTTTTGAGACTTTGTAGTTTACCTTCAATTCGTTCACCATTGTGAAAACATTCTCGGAATTTCCTCCCCGAAAAAATAAGATGTACTGTACCAGAATACTTAAAGATGAACCCATTTTAAATTTGTGAGTAAGATAATTACTGTATATTCAACTTTTAGTTTTTAACGTATTAAATTTTTTAATTTTACTGTACAGTACTGTATTGTTGTTTGAATTGTCGACAATTTTATGAGTCACCCTGAAGTGTATCATGATCTGAAAAAGTATGCTGATCCCCATCCTTTCTTGCTCTGTAGCTCCAGTTTAATTCATTAGACTCTATATTTAACAACATAATATTCTTGGTTACCTCTTTTCTGTAAAATACCATGTAATACCTTGGCTTGTGTAATTTATTAGATGAAATTAACCTGTGATTATTTCTCACTAGATGGCGGGATTGAGGAATTATTGGAAGACTTTAATAGCAGCCTTATAATGTATGCATTTTGTCGGGTCATGGACCCGAAGACGAGTTTGCCCAAGTTTGTCATCATCAATTGGGTATGTAGAATATTTTTGTTTCAAGGAATTACCGTGAATAAAAATTTGCATTTGATTGTGAATTTCAGCAAGGAGAAGCTGCCCCGGCTATGCGCAAAGGGCTGTGCGCGAACCACATCCCGCATGTGGCGTCATTTTTCAGAGGATCCCAGCTCAGCATCACTGCGAGAACGGAAGACGACGTTGATCCGGAAGTTGTCCTGGAGACAGTTTCCAAGGCCACAGCTTCTGCGTATCAATTTCAAACGCAGAAGTCCGACGAGTCCGAGGTTGACCAGAAAGTGGTAAGACTTTGTTCACGAACGTTTTCTCCCAATTTCACCTGTGCGTGACTACGTGTGCGTTTCTGAATGTGAATCAGTGTGGATTTCGCCGAAAGCTACATAACCCACCGCGAGTTGATTTTTATTCGTGTGAAATAGTTGGTTATTTGCTAAAATTAACGTTTTGTTGTTGTTGATCTCTCGTTCGTCCAAAATCCACAACTTACTTTTCTCCGTATATTGAATCGAGGACTCCGTAAGATTTCCTTTACTGTATTGATTCATGTTGATGTATTAAAACTTTCAGCAAATTTTTCTCTTTTCATTCACAGATAGATTTTCCGAGTCAAGGAGGTTGGTTAATTTTTGCAATTACGGTATTCGAATACAGTACATTTTTATTTGCTGGCCACTTTATTAGCATGGTTTATTAGTCATAGATTTTTCTACCCGGAGGATGGAAAAAAGTGGGAGCTACTTTTCCCCTATAGGAAAAAGTTATAGGGATTCTAAAAACTTTTGACTGTGGTAGATTTTGAGTTTTTGGTAATTTTGAAAAATCTGTGCAGATTAATGAAAGGGAAACTGTTTTCTGGCCAAATTTAAAAACAGACCTCTCTTAGCCAAATCTTGCTCTGTCAAAAACATCTCAAGTCAAACTGTCGGAAGTCCCTTGAATCCCTAGTCATGATGACCAATGCGATTCAAAACTCTCTCGACTCAAAACTTTCTTGGTCAAAATTCGCTGAATCGAATTTATTAAAGCCTTTTTACAATTAATTTTGAGATGAGTTTGAGAACCTCGGTTTCATCTTCTTTGACAGATAACCGAGAAAAGAAACACAAACTATTTTTTTGATGCCCTTGAAAAGTTAGTGGGCGACTTCCTGCAGGTAGGAAATTTATGACTAATAAACAATTTGAATAACTTGGTCAGCAAATGAGAATTTCTTGGGATATTTACGCACGTTAACAAACTTCCCTGACTCGGAAAATCTTTGTGTTGAATTATTTTTAGATTTCCTTTAAATCTGACTTGAAGAGGTTCGGCTGTAGTTTGTTTTCAAATCCCCGACACTAATGGCACTTCATTCCGTTTTCTCAGGGAACCGCGTACAAACGGATAATTCCGACGCGTGACATAAATAAATCGGAGCGGGAGAAATTCTGGGAGCAACAAGAAGCAGAGGAAAAGAAAAGGCTAGAAGAAGAGCAGAGAAAACGAGAATCTGATTTGAAGCGCTTGGAGGAAGAAAGGAATCGCAGAGAAGTGAGATGTTATTTGGCTTTCTTCCAGACGGTTTCGTTTCAATTTTTTTTCTCTCTTTAATCTGACGTCGAGGTGGCTGAAGCTAAAGCCAGAGAAGAAAGAGTTCGTGAGCGAGTTCGAGCAATTAAGCAAATCAAGGAAGCCGAAGCTGATAAGAGTCATCAGAGTCAAAGGGCTGAAAAGGCCGCCTGGGAAAGGAAAGTTGAGGAAGACGAAAAGGATGCTGCGGATTCTGTTCGACGGAGTCGTGATGAAAGGTGAGTTCGTTTACCGCAAAAAAAAAAGTTTTTGATAAGTTGATGGTGTACTTTTTCTCAGTGATTGAGCTGCGATTGGTCCTTCTTTTTTTTGCGCATCAAATTCACAGTAGACTAGTAGAGTATCGATGCATACGGGATATTTGATCAAAAATTGATCAAACCGTTATTCGATCATCTAGATTCTAGATGATCGAATAATGGTTTGATTCAATTTATTCAGTGGGCGAAATAATGCAAAAATGACATAATTTTTCATTAATGATATTGCGCCAGATTTTCAAGTTCTTTTCACAAATTTGTTGAATGCATACCTTAACCAATTCAATACAGTACAGGTATTGATAAATCATCAAAAAACGAGATGTGATCGCCTGAAATTCGGGTAATTGATAGAATCAAAACTAAGAAAACGTGTGCATTTTTTTTAATTATCTCGGCATTTCTTTTGCTGACCATGGTGATTGTGTTAACGCTAACAGAATCATGTCCATTGGAAACGCGGTTACTTCCATTTGACGAATTTGAAAATGTGGCTCTTCCGACCGTTCAAGATTGTAATTGAATGAAAATGATCGTACAGTATTTTCAGTCATGAAGAATGATTACGGGTTTTCATTACAGTATTCTGAAGAAGTTTAATTTTGATTTTTTTCCCTTCAGACGTATGCGGGATCAAGAAACGAAGCAGATAATCGGCCGGCGTGTGAGCGATTCCAGGTCAATTTTTGAGCAGAATTCAGCCGCCGGTCAGTTGAACGCTCGTCAGTCCAACGGTCTATCGTCTCCCACAGCGGCTGCTCCGAAAGCACCGAGTCCTCAGCGGTTAGTTGACTTAGGAAGTGGGGGAAAAAAAAAGAAAACCATTCCGCTCGAGAAAAATACACAACTTTTCTCTTTCCAGCGTCAGTCCTCTTCCGGCAAATAATGTGATAAACAACCGTGAACCGGAGCGGTTTGTGGAGGATGTTCCTGTTCAGCGAATTATGACGAATGTCGCTGTTGAGCGCGAGGAAATCATAGAAGTAAGAGTGCAGTAATTCTCTTTCGGAGCACTGTTTGCTGGACGTCAACAATGATTGATATTTTGGACAAGCTTATCGGCGTGGATTTCTGCCTTCTTTTGTTGAGTTATTCATTTCTGAATTAATCACGAGGATTAGTTTTGTAGGTTTATGATGAAAAGTTGTCTCCCTTTTACTCCTAAAAAGCTCAAAAGGGAAATTTCACATCTCATCGAAAATAAGAGCTTCTTCGTGACGTGTGCAGAATAATGTTTAACCTTGTCTCGAATGATATATGATATAGGTATTTTCAAACGAAATGCAGTGTCGAAAAGTCGAGCTTTTCACTAAAATCTTCGAAGGAAAATGAACGCGATTGTTGATAAAAATCGGTGTTGAATGTGGAGAAAGTTCGCTGAGAATTTTTCAGAGCATACATATTCTGAAGTATTGATGAATTGATCCTCATTTTTATACGATAGAATTCACTATTAAAAATCCCACCGGGAACTGGTTGTATAATTTTATTCGATTTTAAGGTCATCTAAACATGTTCACCATGTCAAAGAAATGGGTTCTTTGTAATCGAAGTGCCATTGTGACTGGCATTGACCCCATTCTCACTAAAACGATCAACCAATATGATGGGCATTCTCTTTAAATTTACCTTCTTCGCAGTGCAGCAACTTTCTGGGCAACTTTCGTGCATTTTTCTAGTCTCCTTCATACACTTTGCTAGCGGAAAGTTCATGAATTTTTCTGTGCCCCATTTCTGCGAAGAGAATGAATTACTTGAATGAAATGTTTTTTATCTTCTTTTCTCGAATGGGTGACGATGCAGTTTCAGTCAATTGTTTCGGCGTACATTACTGTATCTAAATTTTCCCGCGTGAGTAATTCTCCCATATCTGATGAAATGCTTTGATGCGTTCTCAAAAGGTAAAGAGACCCTACGTGGAACCGGAACCAGAAGTGGAGGAACCCGCCTGGACGAAAGCTGAAGAGTTGATTTCAGCGCCGGTGGGCTTCGAAACCCCGGCTGAACCGACGAAACGTAGTTTCGAAGAACAGTATGCTGCGACTGTCGGTCAGGGTTTACGGGCTCGTACCTTGTATGACTATCAAGCAGGTACATAAGCACTACGAGATCATTTTTTCTCTTTGTTTTCATTTCAACGCACGATGTTCACTCTTCGTTGAATTTATTTTGCCATTGTACAGATGTCGCCTGATTTGTAAGCAGTTGAATTAGGGCCGAGAGCCGTTGGATACTTTTCCTACGGTAAAGTGAATTTAAATTAACGCAGTAACGCACACACAAATTTTTTTTAGTATAAATTGACTTTTTAAGACCCATTTGAAACTTAGGTTCAACTAGCATGTCAGGCATTGACAAGTTGGTACGATTATGTGTGATACTGTTCTATACTGTATTTCACAATTTCATTGAACGTCGTCCTCTGATGAGCACGAGTGGAAAGTATGACCTGAACGAAAAACAGAAAATTGACGTTGGGAAGTGAAGATTTAATGCTTCTCTGCAAGTTCAGCCTGCGCTACATCGAAGTCATTATATTTTGTACATCAGAATTAAGTTCAATTAGAAAAAATTTTGAAGCAAAATTTGTTGCAGTTTGTCACGGTGACGTTATTGTATTTCTCTCGAGGCGGTTCTAGAGCATGAAGACATTTACAGTTTTATTTGTAGTGAGGGAAGTCAGTGTGTCTTGTTATAGTTTTTTAACGAAAAATTCTTACTGAAGTAATCTGTATCTTCGAATAGAATTTTTGTATCTTTCAAAGTACCGCAACTCTGTTAGTTGCTCGAAGTGGGGTCTAAATTCGCTAAAGGGGGTTAAATTAGCCCTGGGTCATTTTCAATTTAAACTTAGGATCCAGCGACGCCGATTTGAGATCCGAGAGAGGAAATTGTGCGCGTGAAGTTAAAAATTAGAATAACGTCGAATGCTTTCGAATGGATTATGGTACATTACATATAATTGAGATAACCTATGTACTGTGTTGGTCCTGATGATTTTCTTGCTATTTTGCCACTCTTTTAGCCGATGATACAGAAATAAGCTTCGACCCGGATGACATAATCTGCCGGATCGATCAGATCGACGAAGGCTGGTGGCAAGGACTGGGTCCGAGCGGAGACTACGGCTTATTCCCAGCCAACTACGTCCAACTCTTGGAGGATTAGAGAACGACGCGGAAACCAAAAGAAAGGAACGAAAAATATCTTTATTTTCATTGAGAACGTGGCGTGTTTGAGGCGGTGTGAAAAAAAAAAAGAAAATTCCGGCGGAGAGGTTCGCAATGATGGATGAAGGCACCGGAGGCAGTTACGTACTGTACGCAGTTGAAAAAAGTTGGATGCGATCGCGTACACTCAACGTGATATTCTATTTTAATTTTTGATTTTGCACCTGACAACCCTGACCTCTTTCCCTCCCCTCCCCACGTGTTCTAGTAATGGTCTTGAAACTTCATGCTGATCTCCTACAGCTTTCAGAATTTTTTTTTTGGTACGAATCGAGAAGGCTCGGTTTGGCGATGACTTTTTGGGAGCGAGAATTTTGACTTCATGCTTGAAATTATTCCGTTTTTTTAAACCTCAACGCTCAATATCTTGCACGGATACTCATTGTAAACTTGAGGATTGTATTTGAAAATCAAGCGAGATCGCATCTGCATTCATTCGAAGTGTAAAGAGAGCAATCCCGTTTTCATGTATTTTACTTCGTCATTCTTGTGCTCGATTTGCAAGCTTTCATTGCGATTTCTGGCGCAGCTTTAAAACGATGATTACGGTATATGGTGTCGACATTTTGAGAAACTACATCTGTAATTTGTCAAGTATTGCGAAATTTACTCACAATGCTTCCGTAGGAGTAGTGGTTGAAGAGAAAGTGATAAGTGTAGCTTTTGTTGTCGGTTGATCTATTGGGATTTGATGAATCGTTACAAAAATGTGCCACGCCCTCGTGTTTGATTGAAATTCATTCGCAGCTGTAGAATTCTGGCGAATCGGTTTCAGTTTCATGGGAAAAAGAGGATGTATTTTCTTAACTGCCTTTTATGTGATTGTACAGTGTTGATTTTTTTTCTCATCAACGATCCTTCGTAGTTTTCCGCGGTAGTATGTAGGATATGTATGATGATGATGCGTTTCAAATCTCCCGTTACGAATTTGTGCGTTTTTGTTGTTGTTTTCAAATCTGAAGATGTCCCCAAGAAATTATTGTGCATTTTTCGAATTCACTGGGATTGAATAACCCTTCGGTCAATGAAGCTGATTTTACTTGATTCTACGTTTATTTATGTATGTAGACGTTGATTTGCCTGCAAATTTCTCTTAATCGTTTTACGTGGCATGATGTAGGACTGCATTCCTGTGGGCGTCATGGCAGTTCACTCGGCCCACCTGTTTCATATGAACTACAGTACATCCACTGTCCCCTCCCCTTGCTCAGCTTCTGTCCTTGCAGTGCTGAGAATAATTTTTGTTGGAGAGACTGAAGTGTTTCACTGTTCGTGAGAAATGGTTGGCGATTGCGGACAATTCCATCGTGTTTTCGATATTTCTCGTGATTTGAATGACCATGTATCCTCAAGTGAGAGTTGAGTTGGCTTATTTCTATCATTGTTTATAGGTCTTGATATCGTGACCATGGTCATGAAAATTTACATTTCCGGAATTTCCGGAAATAAGGAAGTGAAGAAACGTCAGCAACGGGTGACGATGATTTTAGACAGTCGTCACATTGCCTATGAGTTGATAGATATTACAGAGCCAGGACGAGAAGAGGAAAAAGATTTCATGCAGCAGAATTCAACGCCATTACCTGGTGCCAAATATGCTCTGCCTCCTCAAATTTTCAAAGACGACGTCTATTGCGGGGTATGTATTCTACCCATGAAGTGTTGAAACGTGATTTTAATGATCACGTTATGTTCAGGACTACGATCAATATGACCTTAGCAACGAGAATGATGAGCTGGAGAAGTTTCTGAAGCTAACCGACGAAGAAATCGATGCTTTAAAGTCAGCCTCGACTCCGCGCGCATCGCCGGCCAAAGAACATATAACCGCAGTTCCAAATGGAATTGGTTGTCGAGAAGTAAGGGCTTTTTCTAGTATGAACTAACCTTCTTGTGACGTGAATATCATGTCAATGTTACCAATGATCCAAAATAATGTATCTAACCTGGTGGTTGGCATTCAAGGTGTCAGTTGAAAAGGATTCGATTCTTGGAGAGGATGCACCTATCCTTGGTCCTTCTGGCGATAATCTTGAGAACATTGCAAATCCTTTGGCAAATGAAGATGAGGATCACACCAAAGACGGAGAACCGGTTGAGGTGCATGTTTGTTTCATTTCCCCCAGATTATTGGCCTGAACCTTATGCTGTCCAGAGACAGGCAGCTAGATTGCTCGCGAATGTAGAAAGTACAGTACTTACGGAATATTTTCTGCATTTTCAAGTGCCGGTGTAGCACCCAGTACTGTACAAGATGTCCATGGAGACATTGAAAAATTTGAGAACTCCACTGCATGGTGTTGCGACAACTTTTTTTTCCGAATTTTAGAATTAGACTCAGTCAGTATAACATTAGCTCACGATGCGGGATAATGTTTCCAGGATTGTGTGGAATTTTTGACATGAAATTGTTAAGAAGAAAGCCTTCAATTTCTCCGAATGAAGACTTGAGATAAACCCTAATTTCATAAGGAAATGATTTTATTCCGCTTCAACTTATCGGAGTGCAAAGGAATAAATTGTCAATAGTTTCGTAAGGGCTGGTGAGTATTGGCTTGCGAATGTCGATTCCTGACCGGGAAATAACAGTATCAAGATCTGGTGTGTGTACTGATCTTGATGTATTCCCCTGCTTCGTTGCTGGTTCATTTGCGTTTTTTCTGCGCATTATTGTGATTTTTGTGTGTTTTGGTTTTTTCTTTTCTTGCTCTTCGACTATTGGAAAATCCTTTTGTTACAGTGCTTGTTTTATAAATGCACGCATTTTGACTCATAGCAAGCGCATGCGTATTCTTTTTTGAAGTCCCTGAAAAGAAATGGAGAACTAATCGTCCAGCATATTCAATGGAATATTGTTTTTTGTCGATCAGTCGATAGTTATTTGATGCCGTACCGTCTTACTGCATTTCAGGTCCCTGAAAATCCTAACCAAAGCGAAGCAGAAAGTAAAGAATTGGATGCTGCAGAACCCGGTGAAGCAGATGAAAAAGAAGAAGATGAGGAGGAGGAGGAAGAAGAAGAGGAAAATGAGGAGGAGGAAAACTAATCTTTGCTATTCTTTCCCGTATGACTTCCATGTATTTCCTGAATTGCCGAAGGAAGAGTCGTAACCGTGTTCTTTTGACCCTGTCGCGTTTTCTAAGCATGTTGCATTCATTGACATGCGAGGTATTTTTTTACGCGTGAATCTTTCCCCGCGTTTTTTGAACTTCGGTCGAGTTGCATCAACCTATAAATCAGCCGGCCATCAGAAACGGATCCGAATGGAATATTTCACTATTTTATTCCGCTTTTTGGTCACGTGCACATGTTTCTGAAAATTGTAACGAAAGCGTGAAGCTCAAGTTTCTTTACTAGCCTTGTCGTCGTGTGATTCATTCCGGAAGGATATCCCGCAGATTTACACTATGCGTTGATAGCTTTTGCCGAAGCCGGTGCCTTAAGTGCTGAATAGTGTTTTCCTCCTAACCGGAATATTAATCCCTTGGAGTTGATTGTGTTCTCAAGCTTGGGTTAGTGTCGAATTATACGGCTCTTCATGTGTTTGGTGATCAATGCAACTTTTTTTTTTGTGCGCCAGTGGCTGTTGTTCAATGTACCCTCATTCTTGATTTGGATCGAATACACTGCGAAACGGCAAAACTTTATATAGTTTGCGTTTGTTGCATATGATTCATTGACCGCCGAGATTCATGCATTTCTGTTCAATATTCCAGACGAGTGACACTTTTCCGGTGTTGGTTTTGACGTGGAAATGGTTTTGAATTCTGGTGTTACCTAACTTTTTTCTTCTCGTCAGGTTGCTGTGGTTGGTGGCGTGTTCTGTTGATTGGTTACTTGTTGAAAATCTGTTTGCTGGTTGAATTTCTATTTGAGAAGGATGCTCATCTGAAGAACAACTGAACGAATTAGCTAGTATCAACTCAACCAGTCTTGAAGCTTCGCCTTTTCATCTATCATGTTTTATCAGTGACGCTTGTTTTTGAAGCGCGTTTACGAGTAAGCATAGCACTAAGAGGTTTAATTTCAGCAATTTTTAAACTTAAGTCATAAAACTTTCCAATCTTTGGATATTGGTTCACTAACAAAAGTTTCCTTCTGCCTTGCTGCAGAAAGAATTAAAAATTTGAAGCAATTCGGAAAGTCACGGATATTCCGCGTCTGGGAAAGAGGGATGAGGAAATTTTTCGGGGACCGTGGTTGGCTCCTGGGGAATGAAGGAAAATTAGTACAAGGCTGCAGTCTGTCAAAATGGAAGAGATGTGGAATAATTGTTACATTCTCTGTAAGATTATTTCATGTGGCTTCTTGCTTTTGGTGAGGAAATCGACGTAAGATTTCCTCTCGGAAACACGTATAATATTACCTTTTACTCATTTCAAAGAACCGGAAACCTGTGATCGGGATGATCTCAGCTATCTTTTTTGTTGCCCTTATTAAGTACTATGGATTCGAATATTGTACAGTACAGTAAAAACCTTACACTGCTTACAATATTTATTTTGTAATACAGTATCGTACTCACAAAATTTACCTCACAATACACAACTGTTCAATATATATGTCTTGATGCCAGCTACTGTACTTCAAGCCTCTCGTATGTGATACAACCATCTTAAAAATCTCAATCATGAAATCAGTGACGAAATCACCTCAATGCAATGTGATCCATTTCTGCTCGATCGGAATATAGTACAGCGGTCATTGAATTGTCTTCTTTGTTTATACTGTATCGTATTTGATTTTACCAGTACAGTACTGTATTCGGAAAATGTTCTCGGGTTCAGGGCAATGCATTTATTGTACTTCAGTTCAATTGCCATGATAGAATTGGCCAATATGTGACTTTCGTCCGTGAAGTTCATGATCGTTCGATGCATCATACTTATTGGAGTCTGAAGAGATAATTGTTCTGTTGAATATTTGTCATCTTCATGTAAAGAATTTCTGAATTCAAGTGCTTGTTTCCGAGCGTGTCGTTTAGTACGACCCCCGCGCGGGTCCATAGGCGCCGCCATCATGGCCTGCGCAAAGGCCTAAAACGCAACATTGACTGTTTTCTTTTACTTTGTTACGCCACACCAATCCAAACTGGCTGACGCAATACACGCGCGCCCTTGCGTCAACCAACTCGTGCCCGTACCCCTGAGGCCTAAGAGAGCCTCACTTTGTCTATAGCTCCCGAACCAAACGGTCGTCACGAGAATCAGTGCCTTTTATCGTGTGTACTGTATTAGTCATAATCTGCTACCTGAGTGAGTGCAAATATAAACCGCTACCGTTGTGTTCAACTTAGTGTGTGCTTTTCTGCAAGAAGGTGCCAGCGCCTAATTGTGTGTTTGTAGAGACAAAAGTCTTACTGGGGGGCTCAGCCGCGCAAGAACAAACCATGGCAACCCCAAATGAGCAAATAGTGCAAAGTGAAATGGACAAAGCATCCCCTAGTCCATCAAGCAATTCCGCATCAGCGTTCGCCCAAAACTATCGCAATAACAACCAGTGGGCACATCTCATGCTACCCGCCATACGATCGTACTGTGCGACTGCACAAATCCCACACCTGGGTAACCAAGACAAACTCGTTGCAGCGCTCCAAACGCAAGGCGTACAGCCCATCAACGTGCTACAAAACACAGCACCAGGACCAGGAGCCAGCCCATCCGCCGCTGAACTTACCGCCAACATCACCAAATTGCTGCTCCTACGCAGGGCGGATTTCCCGAAACAAGCACAGGGAGAAGACTTCAAAGTCTATCTACGCCAACTGGAAATTGCATTCAGTCATGACGGTACGTCGAACAACACTAAAATTGACTGCCTGATTGGACACACAACGCCTACAGTCAAGGCGGCAGCCCAACGCCTCTACGACAAGGGATATCACAATTACAACAACATTGCCGACCGGCTCAAGATACAGTTTGGGCTATTGCCCTTCGAACATTTCACGCGATTCCTAGCCCTACGGCCCCTCAAAGACAAATCATGGGCACAATTCGGCAATCGCCTCCGGTGCGAGTACATCTGCTACTTACCACTCAGCGCAACCGACCTACCCGGTCAAGAAAGATCCATCACCCCACCCTCATTGGTCAACTACTGGCAATCACCACTGGAGGGCTCCACGCCCACCTATACTCCAAGGCAACCGCCAATCAAACCCTCACATGGGTCAACTGTCTCGCGTACGCAGACAAATATCGCCGCAAGCACCCCAACACGCCACGTGCATCACCGGCTCCACAGAACACGCAACAAGGCAATCACCAACCAAAAACCACGGCATCTGGATTGCAGAAGCATTACTGTGACCACCACCAGCAGTACGTCCTCCACACGACCGCCAAATGCTCGCTTGGGCAAAACCCAAGGCCCAACACGGCTACAGGAAACCAATCACCACGCAACCTTCAATCGTGTACATACCACCCGGGTTGCCTTGTTGCACACTCGACAGCAGACTGCCAAAACAACCCGGCCAACCAGGTAAACACACCTAACACGCAGACAGTCCAGCCTACTAAATGTGTGCAATGAGGACTTACAGGTCACACGGCGACCAATGGCCCAAACCAGGGAAATGCCAAGATCGGGCAGTGACGCTGTCCTCCGCTCAATCCCCCAAGATACAGACGACAGCCTAACAATCATCATTGGCATCAAGGACAAACGCGTCCCAGCGCTGATCAACACTGGAGCCACCAGGTCATTCATGGCGACCAACGTCACAGCCGAAGTAGGGCTCACACCCCATCTGACGAAGGCAAAGATCTCCGCAGCCGTCTTACACATCTCCGCCGACATCAGCCACTCGGTAAGTACCACCTTTTCACTCGGTTCAGCCGACTATTGCGCGACCTTCTTTGTACTTGCAAACGCAAGATACCCAATAATTCTCGGCCTTGACACACTAAAAAACCTCCCGTTTTGTGTAACACTCGACGGCCAACAAATTTTCTCCGGGTTTCAAACCATAAAACCCATCAACGAAAGCCCGCAAGCCAAAACCGGCAAAGGCATTACGTTTGTAAACAGCTCTCCCGCCAAAAAACAGGCGGTCGCCCACCTACTCGCCAAATACAAAGACAACATCTTCCAATGGTCAGGAAAGCAAGGACTGTTCCCCCAACACGTCGCATCCATCCCGACAAATGGCCAAGATCCCAAGCCACCAAGGCGCATCCGACTGTCGCCCGACAAAGTACCAGCAATGACAGAAATCCTCGCCAACTACACCAAAGCCGGCATCATCGAACCTGCGCAGTCCACGGTCATCTCACCAGCATTCCTGACACCCAAAGACAAAAACCCCAATGCACCAGCAATACAAAGATGGCACCTAGTAGAAGACTACTGCAAAATCAACAAAGTCATACTGGCAGACAACTACCCGATGCCGGTCATCCAAGACATCCTTGATGCACTGGGCAGACAAAACGCATACTTCTGCTGCCTGGATCTGCACTCTGGGTATCACCACATACCCATAGCCCATGGCAATCGCCACAAAACGGCATTCACAACCCCGACCAGGCAAATGCAATATACAGTGATGCCGTACGGCCTGAAAACTGGTCCAGCCATCTTCCAAAGGACCATGGAAACAATCCTCCGCCAACATCTCTACAACCAATGCCTTGTATACATCAACGACATCATCGTCTTTGGCACCACGTTCAAACAAGTGCTGCAAAACCTCTCCGACGTTCTACACACCCTGGCAACAGCCGGAGCGTCAATAGACATCTCCAAGTCCAAATTCTTGGCAGAATCTATCCACTTCTTGGGACACATTGTCAAAAAGACAGGAACACGACCAGCAGACAAACACCTCAGAGCTGTACAAGCGTTCCCCAAACCCAAAACCACAAAGCAAATGCAGAGGTTCTTGGGTCTCGCAATGTACCTGCGCTCGCACGTACCAACCAATTTCGCAAATCTCGAAAAAAACCCTATGAAACACGATCCCCGTGAAACCAGCCATGGCTCTCAAATGGACGCCAGAAGCAGAGGCCACCTTTGAAGCCCTAAAACAGGCGATTGCCAATGCCACGCAGCTAGAACAATTCAAACCACAGTGGGATACCAAAATCCACTGCGACGCCTCGGCCACCGCCATCGGCGCCATCCTAGTCCAAATCGACCACGACGGACAACCACACATCATCGAATATGCCAGCAGAGTCCTGACACCCGCTGAGACCCGTTACTCCAACACTCAAAGAGAACTGCTAGCAGCAGTATGGGCAACAATCAAATAGTTTTGACACTACGTCAAACAGACAATTCAAAATCATCACGGACCACAAGGCATTATTAAGAGAGCTAGTCGACACCAGACTCATCGCCCTCCGCCTAAAACTGGAACCATTCCAGCATACGTTCGTACACCGGCCGGGCAAAACCCTCACAGGGCCAGACGGCCTCAGCTGAATCCAGCTCAACAGCATACAAATCCGCAAAGTACCCAATCCTGGGCAACGCTCCGATATCATTGACCAATATCATGTGGAAATGGGCCACACCAACTGGGAGAAGACCTTTGACACAATACAAAAAAGGTTTACCTGGCCCAGCATGCGCACCGACATATTTCATCACGTCATACAATGCGCTAAATGCTTCACTTTCAACTCAGCAACTGCCGCAGTGGGTACCAAACTCATACCTGTCCCGCCAGCCAACAAACACGACCGACTTGGAGTCGACTTCTGGGGCCCATTCCCCCCATCAACAAACGGCAACCGATACGCAATAGTCGCTATCGACTACTACTTGCGCAGAGTGGTCACCACACCCGTCAAACTTGCAATGGCAAACGCCCTATGCAGCTTCCTAGCAGACGTGTTTGCCCAACTGGGCGCATTCAAAATAATCCATTCAGATGGAGCAGCGGTGTTCAACTCAGCGCCATACAAAATGTTCATCACTGCAAATCAAATTGCGTCACACATCGCCCAACCATACCACCCCAAAGGCAATGGCGCTTGTGAGCAAGCAATCAAATCCCTGTCGGCTATCATAGCAAAGACAGCACCAACCCCAACCACTTGGGATGACGTCTTACTTGACGCAGCGATTGCATACAACCGTACGCCACACACTGCCACAGGGCTACCGCCCATAGAACTCTGGCACAAAAAACCAATACCCACCCCAGCGGACATCAAATTCAAACTACCGCTCAGGGACATATCCCCTGAACTCAAAAGAGTCAAAGAAACTAACCAAAGATACTGCAAGCGGTACATTCAGCAAGCCAATAGGCATCGCAGACCCAAATTCAAACTCAGCCAAATGGTAACCCTCAGGCCACGCCTGAAAACAACAGAAAAACACGCCGTAAACTGGCGCTTCTTACCAAAATGCTTTGGACCTTTCTGTATCACAGCAGTCCTTGGCAAAGCAAAATATCGCATCCAAACCCTAGCCGTCGATTGACAAGCAAATGCATGGGAGTTACAAGCATATAACTTCCCCGTTGCGCCACCCCCTACTATACCAAAATACCTAATGAAACAAAATAGTACAAAATCCTTTTGTTCACAGGATACGGAAGAAACCGATTGGCCTTGATTTTGCCTGGACCCAGGGACACTCGACGTTACAAACAAATCCGACAATGAAGCCCATCCCACAACGAGCTCCCCCAGAGTGCATCAGGCATGCAGCAAGATGCCCAACCAGTCCCCAGTCATGCAAGACCGCTCTCTGCCACGCACCCCCACAGGGACGTCACCCGTACTGAGCGTCAACATTCCGCCATTCAACAGCCCTCCCCAGGAACCAACACCAACGCTTCAACTGGATCTGACAATGGACTCAAAGGCCGCTGATTCCCCAGCTCCAGTAGCTCCAAATCATCAGTGGAGAAAGCGCCAGCGGACATCAAGCCCCGCTGCCGGACACTGGCACAACTGCTCAACGGCACAGGACCCATCATGGACGACAAATACTAGCAATGACAACCTCACCTCAACAGGATCTCAAGACGCCCAAGGATCTCTACCAAAACGCCACTGCCGATGGCCCTTGCAATACTGTCAGCCTTGGCCTCCTCCTCCCTCATTCTTTCGCCGCTGCCAGCACCTTTCCTTTTTGGGGGGGGGGAGAGTACAACCCTTGTGCAGGTCCATAGATGCCGCCATCATGGCCCGCGCAAAGGCCTAAAACGCGACATTGACTGTTTTCTTTCACTTTGTGACGCCGCACCAATCTGAACTGGCTGACGCAATACACGCGCGCGCTTGCATCAACCGACTTGCGCCCGTACCCCTGAGGCCTAAGAGAGCCTCACTTTGTCTATAGCTCCAGAACCGAATGGTCGTCACGAGAATCAGTCCCTTTATCGTGTGTACTGTATTAGTCATAATCTGCTACCTGAGTGAGTGCCAATATAAACCGCTACCATTGTGTTCCACTTAGTGTGTGCTTTTCTACAAGAAGGTGCCAGCGCCTAATTGTGTGTGTGTAGAGACAAAAGTCTTACTGTTTCTTCGCGTGTGTTTGGATGGAATAGTGTATTTGTTGCACTGTATCTGGAAAAGGTCGCCATCGATTACGAGACGCGCCCTGATTTCTTTTCCCTCAAAATGGAACCTACTTCGCGTTTGAATCCTCCTCATTTTCATCTGAATAAAAATAGTCTCTTTACTTGTCGTGCAGAGCCGATTGTTTGTCATCATGATCTTGACATTTTTCCGGATCGTTTCATTATTCGGTGTAGCCATGCTGTAAACTGTACTGCTTCGTGAATTCAGAACGGAGAACGAAGAGCAAAATTTCGTGGAGACTGACCGTCGTGATAAAATATTTTGCTGGGTTTTTCTTAGCTTATTGCTGCTTCAGGATATTCAATCAATTCCTCAATTCAAATTAACTGCCCATTGAAGTCAAGGTTTATTGCGTTGCATTTACGAATACAATACTTCTATTTTTCACGCGACATTCCCAGCAAAAAATTTCGGAGTTGCGTGGCTACTTGACAGTGTGCTGCCGGCGCGCCAGCGTTATGCGTCGGCCCCGACTCCCAATGTGTCGTTTTCCATCTCCCTTGGGTGTCGGGCCACCCGTCTATTGCAGCGTCCA